GGTGAAATGGGAGTAACCGGATGGGAATCAGAAAGCCCACCCCAGTGAGCAAGAATCACTGGGGGGGACTTCCGTAGCTGCTCAGGGACCTCTGGTAGCCTAACTTTTAAAATACCACAGGTAGCTTTGAAAATCAGCCATTACATCTGCTTCTCTTTGTCAGATTCAAGCCAGTTCATCTCCATTTTGTACTCGTTTAATCCACCGGAGAGCGTGGGGTTCACCATCATAAAGGGTGTCAGGGTTAGGCCCGCTATACCTTAGCCGAGCTACATGAGTCTCGATCAGCTTATTCAGCGTGTTGGTTCTCCGTGATAACCTTCAGCCGTCCCCCCGAGCGCGACGATGCCTTGATTGCTTCCAGCCGTATTGGTTAAGCTGCCATCGGTTTTAGTTACGCCGGGTGGTGGCCGGGATGTGTTTTTGTTAAATGAGTCAGTCCTGCCACAAGCTATGTTGCATGTGACCTTCACATCTCATCTTCTCTGCTTTCTAGAATTTCTTCTGTAGGATTTTAAAGGGTCTCACCTCTGCTTTCGTTGGCTCGGCTCCGGGGTTTCTCTGCTGAGGAAGCCAGCATTGCAGCTCTGTTCCTATGGTAACAAGAAATTGGATTTGCTCCTAATATTACTACCTGTAAAAATGCTTTCCATCCCGCATGTTTGCCTGGGAAGCTCCCCTCTCAGGCTCTCCTGACAACGACCTCTTATAGCCCATAAAATTAAAAATCATGAGTCCCATGGAGCAGCCCGCGGCCAAGGGGTCGCCTTTCAAAATGTTTATTTGTCGACAGTTCCCACATCACAGAGCCTGCGACCAGGCAACTATTTCCCACCCTCTGAGGAGGGAGATAGAGGCACATCTCAGCTAGGCAGTGTCCACATCTTCAGGGCACCCTGTCTCTTCTGGATCCCTGCACAAATCCTATGATCAGCTCGTGTCTAACTGGAGGATGTTTCTGGGGAAAAGCATATAGTCCATGAGGCAAGCGCGAGTCCAGGTTCATAGCATTTAAACCAAGATGTGCCGTATTACGCCTTTAGGAACAGATTCAAGCAATCCTGGCTGAGACGTATCAAGCTGAGCATTGGCCGTAGCCTAACCAGCCCAAACCCATACTTGCAAACTAATGCACCTTGTCTTTGCGTGCCTGAGGCTGTTGTGAGCGTGAGAAGAAGGCACCCCACAGCAGCCAACACAAGAAAGGAGAGTAATTGCCAAGCCCAACACCCTGCAACTTGATGAGACATGGGAATAAACCTACTTACAAGCCTCCGCAGGTCTACAGACAGGTCTCTAGCATCTCATGCTCATCGGTCATTTTATCAAAATGAGTCTTCTTCCTACAGCGTCTGTGTAGTTTACTGATCAGGTCAGAGAGGTTGGAGTGAAGGCCATGGGAATTATCTTTCAGATAATCCTAGCCTTGGAAAGGAAGTTAACAAAACTGCATTTCATTAGCATGGGCAGCACAGCTTCCAATAGAAAGGTGCTGCCAGTCTGCATGAATGTGGGGCTGGCCGGTCTTCCCTGGCCCTCACTCTCCAGAAGGATGTAAATCCAGGGCGCAAGTTGTGCCAATCAGTTAATCATCGTATCTCCAAGAACCTGAAAATTCCTCAGCTAGAGGTGATTTGGGTAAATCTGATATCTTTTAATAGACCAACTCAAATAGTTGGTCTAATAAAAGATATCAGATTCACCCAAAGCACCTTGTCTGCCTGGTCTTTAGACCAACACACCTACAACCTACACCCCTAGCAGTGATTTGGCATTTCTTCTTTCCCAGACACTTACCCTACCTCGGTGGGCACAGGTATAATCCTCATGAAGACGGGAGTTCAGATAAGCCACTATTAGCTTTGCTGCCCCTAACTCAAACCAGACCTAAGAACTAAGATTTCTTAGGGGATGGTATGAGCCACCCAAGCTTCACTGGTACACATACAGTGGGGCTTTATCTTTCAGCCACAAAGTTGCTGCTATTTAGGACTTATTTAATCCATGTAAACCGTGGACCCTTAACACCTCTGTCTCCTGAGAGGGAGCTGCAGCAGAAACCCGTAGAACTGACTCGAAATAATCCAGTCTTGGCTTTCATTGCTTGTAATGTTTAGCAAGCATCGCTCCCCTCCTGTGCCAGCCTGGCTTGGATCACAGTTGTGTGCTGCTGCAAGCGGCAGATGTGAAAAGCAAAAAAACCCCCAGAAGATTTGACTTGACTCCATCATATTTTATGCATTGTGGTGAACATGTTCACATTTTTCCTATACTTCATCTTCTTTCTCCCGGTCCCTATTAAATGCATGTGAGCTTTGAGTTGAGCACGAACAGCTGATCCCGATCAGAAAGCCCATCCGTCTGTCAGGCATGTATCCTATTCAAAAACTGTACTTTCCTGTAGCTCAATGTTGCTGATAACGGCATATCTTTACAAATGCTAAAGTAAGACTTCTGAACATGAAGCTCCTTGAGGAGAAGATTACTAGATGTACCAAGCTGAGAGGTTCGGGAGCAGTCCAGCATTTGGGCTGTATAAATATCTTCTGTTGTATACACCATTGTGCATTTGCTCGGAAAATAAATGGCCGTAAATATGTGTGTGTATATAAAAACTCAAGCTGGCTCCCAGCTTTTGGGATTGCAAGAAACATCCGTTGGCTTTTGCAGGGATATCCAGAAATCTACTTGCTCTTTCTGTGCTGAGGCAAACGCGGAGGGTACTGCAGCACAGCAGAAATCAAGCCAGGCTCATTCATTTCTTTCACTGCAATTAAAATTCTTGAACCGCATCAAGATAGTTCCATCGTTGCTCTGCCCGGGCTCGGCACTGCGTGCGCGCAGGAGGGAGCTCTTCACGTCCCATTGGCAGCCCCTCGTCTTGCTGTTTACATTCCAGCTCTCTTGAGCTCATCGGCAGCAACGAAATACGTCCCGAAAGAACACGCTATAGCGCACCAAAAAATGCACTGTTTTGATTGACTTCAGTGACCACAGAATACCGTTCGTACAAAAATGCATGAGCCTCTCCCTAACCCTGTCTGCCTTAGGCGATCGAATTGGTGAAGGTGCATTTATCAGTGCAAAAAGCCTGCTTGCTCTCGTCAGTTGAGGTGCTTACGGGGTCTGTGAGATGCCTGCAGTGCGGGTCTATTAGGAGTATATAATGACTTGTCCGAAACATCTGTGCAGGGGGAGTTAGTGGCTACGTGGATGTTGGGCCCGGGTGCATGGAAGTAAATGCATTGAACACCTACATGCATCCGCCCTCAAAAGTAGGTGACTAGAAATGAATCCAGGGAGGACTGGTTGTTGTTGGCTCCCAACGTATTCATCGCAGGGCAGCTGGCACATTGCAAAGGGGGCGAGGTTCAGGCTAGTAGAGGCCAGCAGCAAGCTACGCCGGAGCAAGAAGTAGTTTGGCCTCGGAGGGTGTCTGAAGCACATTCAGGTGCTCTTCAGGATGGAGATGGGCTTCTCTCTGTGGGCAGGGAGAGGGCTAGAAGCAGCAGCTTGCAGCTTTAGCAGGGGAAATCTAGGCTGGAGACAAGGAGGAACTTTCTGGTTTTAAGGGTGGTCAAGCCATGGGACAGGCTGCCTAGAGACACCGCGGGATCTCCATCCTTGGGAACATTTAAGAGCAGGCTGGGCAACATTTGGCAGGGACAATCTTGCCTTGAGCAGGGGACTGGATGACATGAGGTCCCTTCAAGCCCCATTTTCATAGGATTGGGGGAAGGGAAAGATGCATCTCTCATTCTCCCATGCTCAGGGCTGCCAGTTTAAAGACATGGTCGGACCACTCATCTTTCAAACCCCATGAGGTGCAAGCCCCAATGGCCACATGTTTGCAGTGTTTTCCATCCCCAGGTTGGGGTGTCCTTCAACCGGGGAGAGGTTCAGTGTTGGGGCTCCTCACGTGGCCCTTGCTGTTGAGCTCGAGCGCTGCCTTCCCTACCCTCCACCCCTTGCAGCATCGGTAGCTTCCACCAGATAGGTAGGAGAGTGCCGCGGAGATCTTGCGATGACTGTGGCACTCGGTCTGGTCATGAAGACCGGATTGAATAGATGGGACATCCATCTGCTAATCCTGTTAGAGCACCAGTCCATATTCAGGAGCTGGCTTGCTCTTACGCTGCTTGTGAGCGGGAGGATATTAGGAGGGACGTCTTTTGTTAGATGCTCCTGGCAGCTCCAGATGACCCACAAAAAAACCCGTTGCTTCTCTTATAACTTTGCTTATCCTGGGCAAGGATGGCTCTGCAGCGTAGACGCTCCTAGAAATGGTCTCGGTGCTCAAAAGAGTTAAGCCCCTGCAGCCTGCGGATGGGCTGGAGAGCAGAAACAGGTGTCCTCCTTCAGATTTGCACAGCTGTGACCTTTTCCGCCCTCAACAAGCAGGTTTAAAAATAGTTGGAGCCCGGGTCAGCCAGAGGTCTAGTGACGCGTCCCACGCAGGGGAGCCGAGGGCAGCACTCGAACTCGGTCCCTCGATGCGCAGACTGGTACGGGGTGAGAAACGAACGGTAGCTCAGTTCGTGGGCCGGGGGTAAGTCGCCCTGCTGCATTAGGAAGGTTTCCCGGCAAAGGGAGAAGTCTGGAAATGCAGAGCACTCGCATCTCTCCCTTTCTTCAGCGGAAAGGACCAGACCTGTGAGCTGGGACTTGTGCAACCCTGTAAATCTGCTTCTCCCTTATCACCGCTGGTCCAGTGCCCCATGGGCTGCTTGGCCCTTATGGTGCGGATGCAGCTGCCCAACAAACGACTTGCAGAGCAGGATGTATATTCAGACTCCAACCCCTGGACAGTGTCCCCCCCCCCACACACACACACACACACACATCTGTCTTCCTGATGCGGGTTCAGAATAGACCCGCACTTAGCACTCGCATGGCTTTGCCTGTCAAGCAAGGTAAGGGATGCCCCCGGTCCCAGATGTTGCCCCACTCCCCCATTGGCTTGGATTGATGAGATGTGTTTTCTTTTTCTCTGACATCAGGATTCTGCGACACCTTCAACATCGACACCAAAAGGCCCAAGATCATACCGGGCTCCAAAGAAGCGTATTTCGGCTACACGGTGCAGCAGCATGACATCGCTGGGAAGAAATGGTAAGCGAACATCAGCGGTGGCGGAGCTCTGCCGTAGCGCTCTGCAAGAACCGCGGGGTTGAAAGACGGCTCGTGGGGCATCCAGCCCAGGCCCTAGTGTGCGTGGTATCATCCTCATCACCAGTCCAGGCGCCGTGCTTGTCCCCTCTCTCAGCTGCTGTTGCTTTGGAGGCGGCAGCTTTGAGAAATCTGGCTGAAGAGACTGTTGCTCTCTGTTTTGTTGGTCCGGATCCAGAGGAAGGTCTCTGGGGTTTTGCCTTGCTGTGCCAGAGCCCAGAACTGAACCCATACGGAGGCATTTGCTCGGAGCGAGGGTCTATTTAATCTTTGCAAGCTCAGTGGCTGCAACACAGGGCTGGGAGCCTGGTGCCTGCACAGACCTTTGCCCAGCCTAAACTCCTCCAGGACACAGGGGTGAAGCAAGGAGGAGACTGCTTATGGCCCCAGACTGTGAGGCTTCGCTCTTTGTTGTTCCTGAGCATTGTTGAAGTCCAAGGTACCGCCGAAGGGTGACATGATTTTCGTGGGAGGGTCTGTCACAGAGACCTTCTTCTCTCACTAGAGGAAGCAGCTGCAGCGCTGTCTGGACCCTGCAGTGCTGACATGTTTTGCATGGTCGCTGGGCAAAGCAGGGCTGGTTCAGCTCCCACGAACATGACCTTGGCTTCCCTCCAGGCAACTTCGCCCTTCCTATAGCTTCATATCCCCCGCCGCGCACAGAGGACCCCATCTTCCTGCTGCACCCTTCCCTGCTTCCTACACCCCTCGATCCCCCCAACACAGTCCCCGTACTTCTTCATGCCTCACCTACCCATCCCCTGGCCTCCTTGCCAGCCCATAAGCCTCTACGCTGCCTAATCCCTTTCCTCTTTATTCAGTGCATCTTAAACCTGAGCCAGTCTCTTGCTCCCAGGTGCTCTCTGTGGGCCATGCTTCCAGAGCCTCCTTTTCCAGGTGGTGAAAAAAATCCACATTTTAGTCCTGAATTGGGCAGCCTGTTGGTACCCAGATCCTACCCACCTGTTCTTGTGTCAGCCCTGCCCTTCCAGCTTTCACTGCTCCTCTCCCTTCCTGCCACACGTGCAGTAGTCACAGTCCCGCTCAGCCTCGCTCGCTGCCTTGCAGGGTCTGTCTCTGTGGCCCAGTGCATTGGGGTGACTTCACCTGGACAGAGCACCACACAAATGTGGTTATATCACTTCTGGTGCCAGAATGAGCTCATGACTAGTTCGGCCATCCATGCACGGCCTGATGTACTATGCAGTTGTACATCCGTGTCTCCATTTACCATCGTCTTGGGAGCCCTTCCCTGTCCGGAAAGGCACCTGCCCATAACACATGGCCAGACCTCTCATAGCATCCTAGACAAGGAGGGTTGAAGGGACCTCGGGAGGTCGCATCTAGTCCAACCCCCTGCTCAAAGCAGGACCAGCCCCACCTACATCATCCCAGACAAGTCTTTGTCTACTCAAGTCTTCAAAACCTCCAAGGATAGAGAGTCCACCACCTCTCTGGGTAACCTGCTCCAGTGATTCACCACCCTCCTAGTGAGAAAGTTTTTCCTAATACCAACCTCAACTTCCCTTGCTGCAGCCTGAGCCCATTGCTCCTTCTGTCATCTGCCCCCACTGAGAACAGCCCAGCTCCATCCTCTTTGCAACCCCTTGCAGGGAGGTGACAGCTGCTATTCAATCCCCCTCGGTCTTCTCTTCTGCAGACTAAATCAGCCCATTTCCCTGAGCCTCTCCTCACCAGTCATGTCTCCCAACCATTTTCATCACCTTCCTCTGGCCTCTTTTCAACGTGTCCACATCCTTTCTGTAGTGGGGGCCCACAACTGGACACAGGACTCCAGATGTGGCCTCCCCAGTGCTGAATTGAGGAGAATAATCATTTATTGGCATTGCTAATAATAATATCATTTCCCTCGACCAGCTGGCAGCACTCCTACTCGTGCAGCCCAGGATGCCTTTGGCCTTCTTGGCACCCAGGGCACGCTGCTGGCTCCTATTCAGCTCCTTGTCCCCACTGCAACTCTACGGCGTGGCCTGGCGTGGCTGCAGTGGCTCTGTTATTTTAGACTTCACCGAACTGTTTTTGTGTCCTGCAATTCATGCGCATCCGGGCAGCCATGGTGCTGTGCCTTAGCCAGACTTCCCTTTGGATTCCCCTGCTTTTGTCATCGCTGCCCCAACGCACTTAGACGTGGTTCCTTTCTGGTTTAATTTAAGGCTCGTGTGATCTGCCCAGATGCACTGTGCTGTGGCCAGCGACGAGGCTGCAGCTGGACGTCTTCCCTGGCTTCTCTAAGGCCAGAGCGATGGCGTGTTCTTCCCAAGTCCCGCCGTGTCCCACTTTAATTACAGACTGAGCTGCTGGCACGGGGGGGGGTGGGAAAGGCTTGTTATAAACAGCACAGGGCACATCTGTGTTAACTGAGAGGGGGAAAGGCCCAAATCCGAGCAAAGGGAAGCCACTTGCAGCTCCAGAGCACCTCACTGGGAGGGTTTGCTCACAGAGAGCTCAGCAGGGAATAAAGCCGTGGAGGGTCCCAGCCTCCCTTCGCCTCTCACAGCTGGGCCACGGGTTGAGCTGGCTATCAGATCTAGATCCAGAGAATTAAACCCACCTTCCCTTTGAGCATTTGCCCCTATGGGCTGGTTGGGAAGCTGGAAGGTAGCATGTTGGCTGTGGCAGGTTGAAAAGACAAATATATATTTGAAGGTGTCTGTTGAACTTCAGTCATCGCTAGGACTTTGCAAACGGAGGGTCTGGGCACTTTCCCGCTGAACCTTACATTGGCTTTTGTCCTAAACTGACATTTGCATCACTGGCTTGTGATTTTATTTTATTTTTTTGCATGCCAGCTTGAAGGGCCTTACAGACCTGATCTCCAGAGAGCGGCTGCTCTGTCCCTTCTGCAAGTATAGCCTGCAAGAGGTCACCTCAAAGAGGTGGCCTGATTTTTCAGTACTGCAAAGTACCCTTCAAGTCCCTGGCAGGGGCACTGAATCTGGGGTGATGGACACCTCCAGCCCTACCCCTGGCCACGAAGGGCCTATCTCTTTTTCCTGCTTTTTTGTCTCACTTTGTGGATTGTGAGAAAATCCTTTTCCAACTTGAGGCCTGTAGTTTTTCCATCTGGGACAGCAGTGACTTGTACGTCCGCAGCAGACGCTCCAAGTGCCTCATTTAAGCGGTCGTCCACCGCCTCTGTCTGCTGGCTGCCAGCACCAGGCAATGCAAGCAAATGAATGGAGCAGAGATGAGTGCTGCCAGCTGTTGCTGTTTGCTGACGGCCAGTAAGTGAAATCTCAGTCTCCTTGGGGTTCAGCAAATGCAGAACCTGCTAAACCAGCGCGCGTTGGCTGTCCAGCTTGTTTGTTAACCGCATGCTTGAAATAAGTCATATATCGGGGGGCAGTCACTGAGGACCCTCAATAGCATTTCCCAGGAGTTTTGGTGATGTTTCCAATGGCTCAGAGCAGTCAGGGGTGTTTGCACTTCGAGTTGGTGTTACCGGACCTCTTCTGAAGCTGGCGTTGTGCTCGGAGCTGTTTGCAGAGGGGGAAATTCAACCTGTGGACTCTCTAAGAGTTGCATTCTCTCATGGTTGGGGATTTGTTCTGTGATTTGGATATTTAAGCCACCTTAGCTGATTGGATCAGGGAAATTTCAAAGAGGCAGCACCAAAGGATGGATCCAGGTATCCACCCCCAGATCCTTGCATACGCATATGAATAAGGGTCCGTACTCAGTGGCCTCTTTCCCCAGCACGAGGCCTGGGGAAGCCTGTCCACGTGAGTGCTCATAAGAAAGCCAGGACTGTGAAATGGTCAGATGGGCACCACGAATAACTTGGTGCTAGTAGCACTGCTCACGTTGTGGAGCATGCAGGGGCTGACTGCTGTCACTACAGCATTGTGCACGTAACACCTTCTAGTGACCTTGCTGCCACGTGCAGGGGCTCCGCTTCAGTCCCAAATGTCACCAGCATTTACTTAGCCATCATCTCAGGAAACCTGATTTGAGCTAGGATCAGATCTCCTGGAGTTCAATGTCCAGCATCCAACCAGGTTCCTCCTTGCCTGTTTCTGATGAAGCCAAACCTGAGTCCGGATCACAGCCTGCCGCATATTTAACCACCCCGGTCTCCTTCGGTAGGCGATCCAGCAATGCTAATAAAACCTAGAAGCATGATCCACCTCCAGCAGGACAGAGCAATCCGCTACACACTGCTGATCTTTGATCATGATTTAAGTCCTCGTGACTGATACCCAAATGATGTATTGCTAGCCATTGCACCTCTGGCTACAGCTCTCCGTCATTGCTGGGTGTACCCCCAGCTTTGCGGGAGAATGCAGCAAGGTTTTTTTTGTATAGGGAGAATTAAAAAAGCACCTGACTTGAAATCTGGTTTGTGATGACCTGGAGCAGGAGATGCAACCTGTTGGCATTGACCTCCATCCTTTGCTGGATGGTGTGTGTAGTGGGGGAGAGCTAGCAAGAAACGTCTGCTATCCATCGCGGGTTTATCATCGCAGCCATAGTATCCCCACAGCTATTTATTTTCAGGCTGGATTGTTTGCCTGTGATCCTCACCCCAAACTGCCAGACAAACTGGAGATGGGCCAGGGCCCCTGGACCCTACTGGGACACCAGCTTGAACCCACCAGTGGTGCAAGGGTGGCTGTACACCATGCAAGTGCAATTGCTGCTCTCGAGCACTCCCAGGCAATCGACCTGCATCTCCTTGCCACAGCTGGAAGATGCCAGTGGGCCACATCTGGTTTCCTGCTCTCTCTCCCTTCTCTTTGCTCCCATGTGGCTTTTAAGGACAGAATTCAGCCCAAAGTGACTGCCCGACACTGGATGAAACTTCTTCAGTGCGTGACAGTGAAACACCTCCGAGTGCCGTTTCTGCCAATAGACTGGACCATTGCAGCATGAGCTGTGCGCGGCTACATCTTTCAGCAACGGGGAGTCTCAGACTGGTGCAA